ATGCATGAAAACAGGGAGTAGAACAGTGCTATATTTTTCCGACGACTTACAAGACTTTTAACATGGATTGTCGTGTAACTACGTCCAGTTGTTCTCAAAAATAACCCAACTTATCATAGCTACTGAAAACAAGTTGCATGAGGAACATGACATCCATTGTGAAGATTACTAGAATTTGTCGAATTAAACTTAAACACCTTAACCTACAAACTGTGCCATCGCAATTAAATTCCCTTTCCATAATAAATGAGAACTTACCGAGTTTACAGAGGTTCACGTTACCACTCATCCCAACGACAAAATAAAACTATAAAAATGACTGACTGACTAAGTCAACGTGGAACCTTAGACACAGGTGCATCGACTGAAGTTGCTACACTTTACAAAGAACACGAAGAAGTGGATAGAAGAGCGGTGATATCAAAGTAGATAAAGGAGTGTGAGAGAACAAACAATCTGAAGATGAAGATTACTGCAAATATTCAAGCTTTAGAATATGTTAAGGATTGAATACATCTGCGTCATTGTGGCCGATTTTCAGCCATGTCACCAACAGTCCTCAACCACTGATTACTTACGCCTTAGGGACCCTAACCAGACAGTCAATATCTCCCCGCACGACTCAGACCAAGAGCCAAGGACTTTCATCGACTGGCGCCCATGCCTGGGTCTGACTACCCTGGACGCTTCTCCATCCTAATCCAACTTCCCCAAGAACGGCACTTCGAGAAAGGCGGTAGCTCAGCATGCCCAACTAATGTCCAAGCCATCTCAGTCCACTAAGGTTCACCACCTCGTCAATCGATTTGCCTGTCTTGCGTAGTACCTTTCGCCTGAGCTCAACATTGCTCGCACGGTGATTCCACCAAAACGCGAGCAATGCAACGAAGATACGTATGATCAAAACCCTACAACCGCCTCATGTTGTCTACTTTTAACAGCCATGTCTCACAGCAGTATAGCAGGATAGAATGGACTGCGGCGCAGAATACTCGTCTTTTGATGGATAGTCGGGTATCTCATCAGTTGGCCCTACAGGCGACGTAGGATGGTAAATGCCAGACGGGCCTACTGTATCCGAGACGTCACCAAGAGTCCGCAACCATGTCCAAACTTAAACACAACGGTTGAGAATGGGTGTTATCAGTGAAAATAACTGTCATACCTTTTTGGTTGGGATCCGCATGATGACCGAGAAAGGTGACTGAAGTTTCTACATGATATAGTCCAGAATCGATAACATTGGTATATACGTATCCACACTATCTTCATATTAATCGTAATATCACATTTTGCTATCGGTTTAGTCCCTCTTCCTTTCCTTGTAACTTTGAAGGATAAACGATTACACTTTTTCTCTGATTATTTAACCTATCATCTTGCTGCATTGTGCTTTGATGTGATGTGACAACTAATGTAGTAATAACATATCCCATACTACAAATAATAACTGATTGTAAACTAAGCGCAGATCTCATCGGTCCAAGCAATCAACTTCCAGCCAGTAGACCACGTATTCGAACCCCTCTACATCCATTGAAGTTTGGGTAGCCACAAATTAGCATTTGCCTTCATACAATACATGGCTCACTGCCTAGTATGAGAACATGCATATGATTGCTGAATCACATTTTTTGAGTGTTTATTCGGTGGGAGTTATTTTGGCAAACTATATTAGTCTACACAGCTGATTATCGAAGGAAGGTAATCCTTAGGTTTGCTTCTGGTCACTGGGGTCTTTTTACATCAATTCGTCTCAAGAACTAAATGGTCTGCTGAGATAGATTTTCTTTGAAAAGCTGAAAATTATCAAACCATCACGATAAGTTGACTGGTTCAAAGTACGGAATGTAGCCGAATGCAAAAGTGAAGCTATCAAGATATGTAACCACTTTACTCCACATTGCGAAAGTGGCAGATGGGCCAGCTCAAATTTTATAAAAAGGTTATAAATGAATATAAATTCTTCGTACAGTACTTGGGGGATTTCATTGCTACACTTCCAGTCAATCCAAATGTTATCCGCGTGCTTTATACTAAGTAGTCGGCAATAAATTCAGAAATTCGTCACCTGCATACAGGAATCTACGGTAAAACTTGTGGGAGCAGAATCTGACCACCGGGATCATAAAGTGGGTGCCGTTTTTCATGGAAGTCTTATTCACATCCACTTTAAGTGACCATTTCTACACAGCCCAGTCTAGCAAACATTAAACAAGCCGTTTATATGCTGATAATCCCCCTGAGATTCGCAAAAACTGATACAACCTTCAACACAAGTGAAGTTATAAGAAGTAAATAGATTGCATATTATCGGGCTCACCTGATGAAACAATGACACTGACTTATGCAAGTGGCTTTTAAACGGCAGCTCACGGGTTCGAACGTCGCCTTATCTAGCAACATTTGGGCAGCAGCAAGTATTATTAACCTTGACACAATAGACAGTTTATTCCACAGTGGCCGGACCTGTATGTAATTGCTGAGTTACATCCCCTTATGAAGTCTGCCTAGAAACCACTCCAGTGTTATTTGGCATAGTGTAAAACATTGTAAAGGTTCGTGTAGAGCCACGTAATGTATTGAGTCATACCCAGTGGATGACTGAAAACGGCATAACCTGACTTTGAAAAGCGCTCAACATTTAAACTTGTGACAAGATGATGCAAAGTTGAATTACTTTACCAACTAACCAGTTTGGAAGCTTAAAAGGTTACATCACTAGATGTTCAAAACTAAACTACAGGATCATGAAGGCGTTCGAACAAACCATTAATAGTCGCTAATACAAGGCAACTACCATGAAATCTACAAGATTACAAAAGTAATGTGGACATTCTCTACTACCAAATGTTGCATGTGATAAGCTTGCTAATGACTAAGTCTGAAGACGAATCAGCATACTTTTCAGAGGATTTCTTTATTTAGACACTGAATCAGACCTAAGATTGATCGACTGTAATCCCATCTTCATACCACCAGTAAACAGATAACTACACTGGCAACCACCACTTTATGGTAGAAATAATTTAACCAGCAATTCTACTGTCTTTCTGTACCTTGTTTCAAGCGTCTCGTCGGCACCGAATAGCCACTAATTCTAGGTCACCAGGAACTGCCTTTTTAGGCATTTCAAAATATCACCGTGGCTTTATAATGAATTACTTAAAATCGTTTAGATAAGGAGACTAGCTAGCGGTCCAAATAAAATGCTTGACTTATTCCATCAGAGAGAAAAGAATATCTGTAGCAATACGTGCAGTATGATAGATTTCAATCAGCGAAAAGTTCCACTTCCAATCACAAAAGCTAATTTATTTGATCATCTTGCTAATTTCAATGCAAACGTAAAATTAACGATGTCACTAGTGTTTGTGGTGTTCATCAGTCTGTAGTCTGCATAAATCGTTTTAATTGGTGGCCAGAAGCTATTCCAATACCGGACACCACTGCAGAAACGGTTTCCTGAGTCCTCATGAATAGATGGGTAGCACAGTTTGGACGCCTTTTTACTGCAACAACCGACCGAGGGCAACAATTTGAATGTTACCTTCAAGAAACTTTTGGGTCATTTGGGATCCATACGCGTTCGCACTACTACTTTTACACTATTGTGTCACAAATATTTCATCACCGCACACAAACACTGTATTTCCAAGCATTTCACTTAAAATTATTGATAAATACTTACAATTAACATTACAGGCTAGCAGCACCGAGATTAATTCTCAAGGTGTGACACGGTATTTAACGGTTTCGGAACGTAAAGGATTGTTGAAACTTCACAAACCAAAAAGTATTACGGAGATTGTAAATCTCTCCGGACAGGGGACAGCAGCTCTCCGAAGAATTATTGCTGGCACTTGGAGGTTGAAATTACATGACAATGTGTTAAAGAGTGGTGCTTGGTGCTGGAGACCACAGCCAAGAGGCTGAAAAATTTAGATAAAATGGAGTCGACCGCTTCGAACTCAGTACGTGATAGCACGAGTCGTCCGAGTTGTGTCAAATAACCTCGAGTCATCAGGGTTCAATTAGCAATATTGAAACATTCTAATACTCTCCCGTTTCGCCTCTGATCTTTCGACAGTCTGAAAGCACTACATTCTATGATCCTTTTGCATCAGTTCGTGATTTTATCGATTTGTGTTTTCAAGAAATAATTGCTATGTGCTATGATCAGTAACAAAACAAAGTGGGTACACTTCTCAACTTCTTACCTTTCATTCCGGTCTACTTTCATGGTACAAGCGTAAGAGATGAACCAAAAATATAATTCAAATGAGGTTGTTAAATTTCGGAGTTGTGGGTGGTGTCCGGCTAGCTCATGGTCAGACCAACGTGCACTCAGCAGAAGCCATCCCCTCGCATGTAACTCCCACCAGCTTCACACACCATCCCCAGCCTCTAACTTACCTACGTACACTTAAGCACTGGGATAGTGCTTTTTCACCGGAAGTAGCAGTGTAACGCATCCAAAACCGTACTCATTCACTTTCAGTTTCGGCTTCTAGAATGTTTAATCTCTTCATTGTCAAGCTCTACCATTTGTCAGTTATCGTTTATTATTAAATGTAGGTACAAACAGTATACTTGCTGAGTCTTCGGCTCACGTTTTTTGCTTTCGCTTTTCCTTCCAGATTCTCGTGATTACCAAAAAGCCCACACTCCTCTATGAGCTCCCTTATAAGAATGTAACCACCTACAGGCTAGACGAAAACCTACCAACAGGTGGTTGTTACAAGCCCAGCTATTTTAGCCCTATGCTCCCGATTGGAAGGCACGAATGCCTCCTAGACTACTATTACAAACAAAAACAGTACTAAAAGAAATTTGTAAGACCAAAATAATCATCAAGAATGGCAAAAGCCTGCAATAATCAAGTTGGTATTTGCTGTAATAGCTCCATTTTACGTAATAGACAAAAAAACCCGGTGGGTCCGAATTTTTACGGAAATATCTTCACCATTTAAAAGAAAAAGATATTCTACACGACTTACTGTGAACAGAATATTAAATACAATCATCAGCACGCGGACGCATGCTGCACAGGATTTGCACATATTGGAACAAAACACCAGTTCTCGTATCAATTTAAAAATGGCCCAAGACCCGGGAAAATATGTTAACGATATTCATTGAAGGTTCAATGGCTGTATTGTTTTCAAGCTCCAAAGCTTTGTTGCATTTTTTACAGATAAAGTTAACAAAATGGTTATGTCCGTTTGTCCTTGTAGTTGATGTCACCGTGAAGATACAGTTTTCCCCTCGAAGTGTCTTCAGTAGATGCGTTTTCCACATGGGATAAGTGAGTGTGAGGCGAAAATTTTCAGTCAAGAACATTTAGGCTACGATCCTAGGTTTCACAGTGATTTCCCCCCAGGAGAAGTCCACTTAAGCTTGGATTGCGTAGGACATATTTGCTGCTATATAACTGTTATGGGTGCAGCAGGCTCATATAAGGTTAAAGTGAACCCCGTTATTGAAATGCAATTTGTTATAGATTACCAAAGCAATAATGTAATGTTTTCATTCAGTACTCAACCAATTATCAAAGTTCGTTAGAGCTTTATTCATCCAATAAGCTTCCGTGCATGATCAATCGCTATTCTTACTCTCCTTGCCCTGCTTCACTAATTTGGAATATTTAGTTCAGTTTGATCTAGCCTAGTAGTTTATGTATATTTTCCCAACAAAATCAACTAACTTTCTCTGTTGGACGTGCCGCTTCTCTGATAGTTTGGAGTGAAGAAGAGTGTTTACTTGCTCGTGTGCACTGGTAGTACGTACAACCTGGATAAGGAACTGAGAAGCCTAACATTCCTAACACCTATTCGGTTGTTACACCGAAAACACGGTAAAGCTCTTACAAGACCACTGTTGAAATTGTAGACAGACGATTTAAAAGCACTTAATCGATGAAGCAACCCTTGGCAGGGAAGCTTGAATAGTCGCCTAAAAACCTTATTTCTTACCTTTGAACTCTTTGGAATGTATTATCATTGAAGGAAATCAACTGTTCGGCAGCATAGTCCTTCAAATATGTCCCACACTGCAAGTACGAAACTCAAATGTCCCCATCTAACCTGTGGAAGGCTTTCAGAGGGACTAAAGACTACGCGAACCTTTAGCTGCCATTACTTCCTTGTTAGCTGAAGTACAACAGTCACGCCGAAAGTGAATCTCAAGTCTCTACACCCGGAAATGCCAGAAGTGATCACTAAGTGAATCGATTACCCCCCGCACCACACCTTTTAGAAAAACCATACAACCCCTAGGATTTTATCAATATCCGACCTCTTGTCAGACCAACCAAAGCCACGATAGGTGAGTGGGTGGACCTACTGCATCGGAATCCATCAAAGAACTAGAAGCGAGAGTGAAGAAATCAGTTGGCTTCCACCAGCTTGTAAACAGATATTGGATGCTGAGTTGAAGGAGGAATCGATGCCACTTTGCTCTCCTTTTGTGCCGGTTGACAGGTACATTCGAATCTTGCTACGACGTCAGAAAAAGTGTTGGGGTCTTGCCACCCACCTCGGTACACCCGAAGTGGTGAAGCATTACAAATAAACTAGCAATAAATGTATGGCTGCTATCCACCTGTCTCGAATATGCTTTGAAACACGCCTTGCCGGGGCAGTATTGCAACATCCGAAGAGGTTATTTTCCTGTATGAACCATAGAAATAAGACGTGTCATGGTATACCCGCCCTAACCAATGGGACAGAAAATGACTGCTCGACTGAGGACGATAGGGAAAGAGCAGAAGCCATGGCTGGAATTTTGCTGAGGTCTTCACACAGGAATCCTTTGCGGACAGTTATCCAACAGAACAAACTTTGTGAATATCGTTTATAGTGATGTATTTCGGACATTAGGTACTCTCGATGTGGAAAAATCAACGGGACCGGATGAGCAGTACCCAAGGCTGCTCAGAGAGCTTGCACTCTATGTGGCCGGCTCATCGGCTACTATATTCAGACTGATTCCCAGTGACGGCACACTCTCCTATGACTGGAAGGATGCAATAGTAACACAAGGCAGGTTCTAGGCAGTTCTCATCAAACTACAAACCGACAAGTTTGACTAGTACTGTAGTGAAAATCCTAGAAAGGGCAATCAAGAAAGCCATCATAGTCCACCTAGAGTGCGACACTCCATTTTCTCGTCCACAGCATGGTTCTGTAGAAATTTCTCTTGCTTGACGAACCTTCTTACGGCCAGAGAAGCTGGGTTAAGTCTAAGGATGATAGGATACCGGTAGATGTCATTTTCACTGACTTTAGTAAGGTGTTCGACAAACTACCTCATTCCAGGTTCCTCGGAAAACTGGGAGGTTTTGGAATCACTAGCAGTCTGCTTGTGTGTATAAGAGACTTTCTTGATGCTAGGAGGCAAGGAGGATCAATTCTCAACTCTCCACTTGCAAGTCGATAGAGAGTGAAGTGCCTCAAGGCACAGTTGTGGGCCCCCTACTGTTTCTCCTATACGTAAATGAGCTGCCAAGCATCACGAGATCCCCTATGGTTGTCTACGCTTATGATGTCAAAATTAGGAACAACAAGGATATACGCGCGTTCTAGGTGGACCTGAACAGCTTGTTTACACGGTCAGAGAAGTGGCTGATGCCTATCAGTGCAGATAAATGCGTGAGCATGCACTTGGTGAGCATATACAGCAACGCCTACGATGCTGACAGGGCTTCTTTACCGTCAGCACTAACCTACAATGACCTAGGAGCCACGGCGAGTTATGATTGGTAGCAACTCGGAGTTTTAGGTCTCCCTAGACATTACGTAGAACGTTTACGAAAATAAGCGGTGACATGTTCACCACCTTATACACATCCTAAGTTAAGTCTAAATCAGAAAACTGTACACGGGCGGCCAATCCCTGTCTGAAAGGTGACACAGCCCTTGTAGAAAACTGAGTTCAGAGGCAAGCCACTCGTATGATCCCTGCGATGGCCGGCCTGACCCATGAAGACCGACTTAAGGAGCTGGACCTCTTCACTTTGTCCTACCGCAGACAGGGGGAGACCTAATCAAGCTATGCAGGATTCTAAGAAATGACTTCGAACCTGATCTATCTCCTCGTTTCCCTCCCACCAGGTCGGGACACCTTAGAGAACATGGTTACAAAAGCAAGAAGAGGACGGTCTCCATAGAGTACCGGTTCTCACGTCGAGTAATCAACTCCTGGAACCGACCTACAGAAGAAATGGAGTTCACATCATCGACTGACTCGTTCAAAAGGGGATTGGACAAGCACAGAAATCTACTGAAAAAGGATCAATATAGGCTCCCACCCCCCTATCCTCAAACAACAAATCCGACAAACCTGAATCTTCTCAGTCCTTAGCCCGGCCGATTATACGGGTTAACCGAATTAAATTTTTTCGATTAAAATCATCTTCACCTTTATTCTTTTAATTATATTGCTCCTTTGGATGTATTCCCAAATGACTATCTTTCCGACTCGTGTTTCGTTATCAGTATCTACACGCCAAGCAAACCACTGATCGAGTGGGCACTAGAGTACATCGAGTTTTGTGTTTGTGAGAGCGTCTGGCAGATAGCCAACGGCTATCGTGTCACAGTACACAGATAAGAAGATATTATGTTTCCTTTGTTGTGCATGTTGGTCGAGGATTGTGCACGGCTAACTCCGAATGCTGGTTTCGTTGAAGTTTGCAGGGGCTTAGAGTGATTTCTCAGAGTTGGTGGGGCACGGATAATTGATTTTGACCGAGAAGTCCTTGTCGGTAAGTGGAATTTTATGTGTACATACCACTGATGTACGCCCCTTTAACGGGCTTTAACCTGTGGGTATGCTACTGCTCCTAACAGTTGCTTGAACATTGATTGCTTGCGAACTATTTTGGGTTTATCCAGGCTACACACTTGGCATCTTGAGGAAAAGAACAATTACTGGGTAATCATTTTCCAGGTGCGTATCCTGAATACTGACAGACGTATGTGCATTAGGGTCGTAGTGACTAATATTCCCACAAAACAAGTGGCCTAGGATTCAATTATATTTACTGTTGGTACTGACTTTCGCAGCCCAAACAAACCTGTTCTGCTGAATGCACAAGGTCAAGCATCTACGCCATTCGGAAAGTTGCCGTCCTGCGGTGCGTTAGGCGCCTCAGATCTCTTGGTCGGCCAACTTATTCAGGCACCCCAGGGTATCGTCTCTGTTCTCCAAATGAACTGTCCGTACCTGACTAGTCTTTAGCGCTTTTTCCTGATCGCAAACTCATGGGCATTCTCCGGTATGGAGGATCAGTGGTAGTCTTGTGCGCGTCCTGGTTTCCCTTACGTAATGTTTCGAAAAACCCTGGTCTTTTTTGTTTGACTTCACCCAGTTTTTTGCATGATTTATCGATCTTTTGTGGATTCGCGACACCAACGCTTTGTTCCGGTCATAAACCACGCTAGCCCTAGGAAGGTGAAGGGCTGCGGTTAAACTTGCCACATATTTTGCCGTGGGGAACCATTTTCGTCTGGCCCCATCACAATTTACATGCAAATTCCTTGTTTATCATCCAAGTGTCCTGAATTCGGCTGGTCCAGGTTTTCGTTTAAGAATTCTTTATTACGCATTACTCTGTCTTTTCGGCCGCAACATGTCGGCCCCTGAACTAGATAACTCAGTCTTTCTCATAATTTCGCAGCCGTTTTTTATTTCCACAACCTTTGCTTACTCGTATTATAAATTTCCACATTCACAGACTACCAGACTCCCAAACATTTTAGTAATAAAGCGTCAAAACACTCGGTACGGCTGGTTTCATTCTGATTAGATAACGTAAAACCATAGTGTCGATAGGTTGAAACTGATTTTTGGCACTAGACCGTTACTCATCCTTTTTTCAATCTCCGGTCGTCGTGCGGTTACCGTCATGAAGACTGAACAGGTACATCACACAGTACAAACGTTTTCTTTCCACACGAGTGGCCTTCATACACCGCCTTGGCTGCCACTTTTCTTAATTGGGTTGGAGAGCAGCTCAGCTACT